AATCAAAACTCCAGAAACTGATGGTTTCGTTGACAGACCTCACGATTGCAGCCGAAGCCCATAAACAGTGCGAAGTGCAAGAGGTTTACGAGTGTAGGTCTTTAATACAATATTATGGCCCACTTTTAAGCGAAGTCTACGATTTGCATCAATTACTATAATTTTGGTCAACTTAATTAAAATTCTAATTCAAAATTTTAAGATTTTATATTTAGTTAAAATTTTAAATTCATAGTTTAAGTAAGATACTTAATTTTTATACATAATATTAGCCATTATTTGTGCAAGTAAATAAACTTCCAAACTATAAATTGTATTAATTTTTTCCAATAAATATTCTTATAATTAAACTTAAATTAAAATCAATTGTATGATATAATATTATTATAATAGAAAGACAATTGACTTTTAAAATCTATGTGATTATAAATGTGAAGGACATGTATGATGGTAGGCATACTCGCAAAGCAAATATAACTGTAATATCAGATAAGAAATAAATTTCTATTTACTTCACAATCAACATTGCTAACATTTCACATTATTGCCTCATATATTGTTTTGGTTTTTTAAATAAATTAGTCAAATGAATGTCAAAATCAAAGAAAGACTTTGTCAAGTGTGTGGCGATAGTAAACAGATAGGTATTATTATACTGTATTTATTGTATAAAAAATTTGTTTATTATACTTAATTGTTTAAAATGTGAATTATATCCTAGGTAGAAATTTTTGTGCCACTACTTGCGAGTCGTGTAAAGCATTTTTCCGGAGAACTGCGCTCAAGACTATAGTTAGATATTAATATCAATTTATTAACTAATAGTCTAAATTTAATTCAATTTTATTTACTTTTTAATAGCAATTACAATGTGTTTCAAACGGCAAATGCGAGATCAATGTACAGACGAGACGATTGTGTCCGAAGTGTAGACTTAAAAAATGCTTTGACATCGGAATGAGAATTGTGTGTAGTTTTCAATGTCTTATGTTTTGATAATTATTTTACAAATAATTTCTTAATTCAGGATTTCATACGAAGTGAAACGGAAAACAAAATTCGCAGACAATTGATGATTGAAAAGAAAATGAAAAAACTATTGCAAGACATGAGCGCATATTCTGGCGATTCTTCGGACAACGATTCAAACGCTAATTCGAGACAAGAATTTCCAGAAT